TGTATGTGTATGTATATGTGTGTGAATATATATATTATATATATATGTATATATATATAATATATATTTGGACAAAAATATTTTTATTTCTGGAAGTAGAAAATATTTTTACTAGTACATATTGTCAGAAAGCTTTTATCAACTAACCAAATGTTTTTGACAGTGCAGACACCTCCAAAGGAAGTTATAAACTATACCTGAAAAAAAAAAGTCAATGGCAGCAGCTACCTAGTTACAGCTTCCAAACTATTAACCAAATAACCTGCACTTCGTGTAATTTATGGAAAATAAGTGTTTAATATTCTGAATCACTATTTTAATTCAATATTTACTTAGTATTTACAAGACATTTTTATAATTGTATCACTATTTTAAATATAAAAGGTAGATTTTTATGCAATTAAGACTTCTGAAAGTATGTTGTGGTTTATTTTTGGTTTGTTCTTTGTTTTTTTACCTTTAACAGAAAAGGGGAAAAGGATTACAAGGAAGTCTTAAATTACAAGCTAAAGTTTTGAATAGTTTAATGATAAGATATAACAGTCATCTCTGGCTTGCCTCTTAGGTAGTATATATATTCTAAGATAGAAAAATCAACATCTTATTTAGTAGTGTGTAAAGTGATTATGTGTCCTTTAATGTAATCTTTCAAGATATTTCTTTGTTTTTTTTTTATAAAGCAATGGGGAATCCAGAAAACATAGAAGATGCATATGTTGCTGTTATTCGTCCAAAGAATACGGCCAGTCTAAATTCCCGGGAGTACAAAGCTAAGTCATATGAAGTGAGAACAATCTGCTAACATTTGATTTGCTACTATTAAATGTCATTCTTTATTATTTTCATTTAAATGTAGTCTTATCCTGTAAATTCTTATTGACAGCCTAAATGTTGACAAGCTAAAATTGACAACCATAGATCTCTGCCCATCACTGTTTTTTTTTCTGCTGTATATTTTTGACCATTTTTCTATTTATTGATACATATAAGTTATTAGATATTAAAAGGTACTTGTTTGAGTTTTCCAGATAATTTATTTAGTTTTTAGTACAATTTATGGAATGGCTCTCAAAATTAAAGGAAAAATTTTTAAAGTCAGTTTATTCAAAATTACAGTCTACATATTGTTCTTAGTTATTATCCTAAGCAACTGTTTTCAACAGTTCACTAAAAAATATCTTTTTACCTTTAGTTAAGTTTTAGGAGATTAAGTTACTTTTCTGTAGTCTTCAATTATACAGGGTGGGGTAGAAGTAGATTTATAATTGTTTGTATGGAAAATGATACAATAATTAATAAATAATAATACAAGAATAAACTGGTTTTGTGCACTCATAACTGTAAACCTACTTTTGCACACTCTGTTTCACATGTATGTGATGGGACACTATAACAGCAAAATCCAATAGTTGTGAAGAA